TTAAGTCCTATCAAAATTCTACCCTTTAAGATAGGTCTCAAATCCTGCAAAAAGATCAGGGGTTGCCAGGGATTAGCGAGGAGAGAGAGATGAATGAGCAGATCTTTAGGGCAGTGAAACTACCGTGTATGTTACTATAATGGTGGCTACATGTCTTTATACAGTTGTCCAAACCCATAGTAGGTACGACACCAAGAGTGAACCCTAACATAACCTATGGACTTTGGGTGATAATGTGTCAATGTAGGCCCATCAGTAGTGACAAATGTACTGCTGTCATGGAGGATGTCTGTCAGTCACAAGGGAGGCTATGCATGTTCAGGGGCAGGGGGCATATGGGAACTCTGTACCTTCTCAATTTTGTTGTGAATCTAAAACTGTTCTAAAAAAATGTATCTAAAAGGAATATATATATAAAATTATATGCTAAAAAAATATGTCTCAAATCCACCCCCTTTCTCTGTTCCTACTGCCAATGTCTTGGTCCAGGGTCTCATCTCTCACCTAGTCCAGCCTCCTAACAGGCCCAGTCTTGCCTCCTTTTATATATTCTCCACACTGAAGCCAGAGCGGACTCTCTCAAACAGACAATCCTGCTCCTCTCCCCCTCAGTGGACCTCCAAAGCTCTCGGCATCAAATTCAAGCTCCACAACCACAACATGGCCTGCATAGGCCCTCCACGATTAGCCCTTACTCTAGCACAGCCACAGGCAATTTCTGCCCCTTCCTCTGTGTTCCAGAGGCCTCTCCTCTTCCCCTTTCCATACCCTCTCCTGGTTAACTTTGGCCCAACTTTCAGGTCTCAGTGTGAACACCTTTTCCTCCTGGATGTCTTCTTAGCCCCTGCTGTCTGGGCTAGGTGTCCCTACACTGTGCTTTCACAGAACCCCCCTCATCAAATGCCTGTTTGGATAATATGCCTTTTGTGCCCCATTGGACTGAAAGCCCAAGTGAGCAGGGATGGCATCTGTCATGTTCATTTTTGTATCTCCAGCACCTGGCTCAGGTTTACAGACAGTAAACACTTTGTAAATATTAGTTAAATGAATGAAGGAGGTTTCCTGACTTCTGTGCTAAGAGCTCTCAGCTTCCTACTCTGCTTTACTCCATACAAGTAGGCAGCTCTGGCCCCACAAGCATGATCCCAGGTAAGTGGTGAGACCAGAGGTCTGGGGGTGGATTCTACTCCAGATAATCAGGGAAATGATACTAGGAGGGCATTCTTCAAGATCTTAAGTGGGAGCAGTTTCAAAGTTGAGGCAAAGTTCAGGCTTTCCCCTCCATCACATGGGAGTGTGCAAACATCTCCACATGTAGGATGCTTTTGAAAATAAACTGATATGGTTCTACCCAACTAAGCTGACCCACTTTTCCTGCCCTTCTTTCTGCCCATTCCTGGTCATCGCAGGAATGTTCTCAATGCATATGTGTCTCATAAGAACCTCTGGAAAGTTCACTCTTTTGGTTTTCTCTGAGTTGAGATCAGAGGCAGCTTGGATTTGGAATTTGCTTTCAGAACTCTTGGAAGGCTCTAAGCTCCAGCTATTTCTGAGTAACCTCAAAGGACTCTCCACACTTGGGTGGGTTCCAGCCCAGGTCATTCTCCTTCTCTTTCTGTCCTTGCAGCCAGGCAGACTCTTGAGAGAGGATGGAATTCTGGGTAAATTGTTTGCTAGAAGTGAGGGGGGGGAGGGTGCCCCCACCCACCTGACCCAGCCCTCCCTTCAGGCAAGGTCAGTATCAGCAAACAGCCAGCTGCATTTTCCTCCTGGGAATGCTAAAGAGACTGAGTTAGTAAAAATCTATCTTATTAACAGCCTGACCTACCAGCATTGATCACATTAGAAATGACGCCTGCACACACAGTCCCCATCATGTGCATAGGAGCAAAGCTTCAGTGGAGCTCAAAAAGCCATTTAAATCCATCCAGGGGTGACTCCTTCTCCAAGGGCTCAAAACATCCCCCAAACTAATAACCCCTGACAAAGCACCACCAGGGAAAATTCCTTGCGGATTTGAGATTTTTACTCTGTTAATCTCCTAACTCAATAAAGCAAACACTCCTGCAGCAAATTAAGTACTTTTATTAAAGGGTCCCCTCCTCCATTCTCTTTGATGTGGGTATAGGCCTGCAACCCTCCCAGGGCCTGAGTGTCTGTGTGAGGGGTTGTCAACCCCTGAAACACCATCATTTTCTCCTGTTACCCCAAGGAGCCCCAGAACCCACTGGGATTTGCAGATTCTTGGATTCTGGAAACTTCTAAGACCTCTGGCTTCCCAGAGTAGATCTCACAGCCTGTCAGCTGAGGGAAATGCTTCCCATTCTTTTGTGGGGGTGTGGCCTGGCCCTAAGCACCTCTACTGTTGCAGTTTGCCTGGAGGAGTCTCTGGCACAACTGTCCAGGCCAAGGTGGACTTGTTGGCCAATGGTCAAGCCTTTCCCCTGATCTTTTTACAAGCTTGCTGGTCATACCTCCAACAGTGAGCTGGAAACCTGATGGGGTTAGCTGGAGAAAAGATTAAAGGAGGCAAGGTAGAGAAAGGGGAGGTAGGGAGGTCTGAGCTCCTCTTTTCCCCACTGTTTCCTGCCCCACATTGGCCCCCAAGCTACTTCTCTTTCACATCTGGAATTGGGTTAAGCCATTTGGACTTCTTTTAGTCATTACTGTCCTCTCATTATTGGTTTGAGGTCTATTCAGGACCCTTCCAGGATCTCCTCAAATGCTATCCTCAGAAAGCCTAGCTTGTGGGGAAACCCACCAGCTTACAGATGGTAACTGTCAGATCAGATCCCTTTATATTTCAGGAGGAGCCTCCCTCTAGAAACATCATAACCTACAGTTTATCAGTTTCATTACAGAGTTCATAGTGTAGAAGTCTCTATGGATTCATTCTCAGAGAAACTAGAAGCACTATTATTGTCTATAGAGGCAGACAATTGAGTCTCTGAGGGCCCTGAGGATTTCTTAGCAAGGGCTCTGTGGGTGAGTGTGATAGGCCCTCACGGAAGGTCTGTCCTGGTAATTGTTGCCAGTGATCCTGGATGCAGACCTTGCCCAGTGGAAAGAAGGCACTCAGTCCTTACTGGGTCTCTGAGAAGACCCTTCGCAATGTTCCCTCTCTTTACTTGCCCACCTTGGACAAGAAAGGGATGGGAAGCACTAGCTCCTCAGAGGCATTAAGCCACAGTAGCCCAGACTGAGCTCTGGTCATTTGAAATGTCCTATCCTTTCTTCTCAGCCCTGAATAGATGCTCTAGTCTCTGTGGCTATCTCCATTTATTTCCCATCCCAGTGGAATTGCCTCCAGACTTATGTCTTCCCATGGAAATACAAACAGAGTCCCTGGAAGTTGGAGGAAATGGAAGGAGGTAGCAGAGAAAATGGGGAAAGCATGACAAAGTACATAAGCCCTCAAGTTAGGGTCAGACAGGCCTGGGCTATAACCCAGACTCAGCTACCTGCATACTCTGACCCTTGTAAGCTATTTGCCCTTCTAAACCTCAGTATCCTCATCTACAAAATGGGGATAATAATAGTTCCCACCTTCTCAGGGTCATTGGGCAGCTTGAGGGAAATGAGCCCATAAATTATTTAGCATATAAAAGAGCTCACTGAATGGCTGATAAATAGAGGTTCAGGGCTTCCAGACAGGGATTGGGGCCAGCCATGAGGCTAGGAATTCCTTCCTTCCCTGAGGCCTGCAGGGATTTGTTAATCCACCCAATGGCGTTTGTTCCAGGAGAGATTGGAAGGAGGAGGTATAGGATGTCCAAACCTCCTCTTCCTCGCTCCATAGAGCAATTTACTTCCCAGGTGAGTGACTGCTGGTGGGTGAGGAAGGATCCCAGGCCATGGCTGGAGCAGCTGCCAGGATCTGGGTATCCTGGTGGCTCCCAGGCAGAACTAGTCCTAGGCACAGGTGGAAGTTAGTCCATGCATTCTCAACCAGGGCAATATCAGCTCCAAAGAGGTCTCAGGAGAGCAAAAAAAATTTTTTAGGTATTACCATGGTTTGTGGCACTCCAAAGTTTAAGCCAACCTCACAGAATCATGTCCCTTAGTATTTAATTCCTCTCATTAGAATAAATTAAATTCCAATTTAATAAAGTTAATTTAAATTAAAATTTCTTAGGGGCGAGAGGCACAATAAAAAAAAAAAAAGGTTGAGAAACGTTGGTATGGTCCATTTTCTGGACTTTCTCAGCTTCCTTCCCAGGGTCCCTCCTCTCTCATTGGCCCTTTTTGCTGCCTCCTTCCTTTTCCTTGGACTCGTGGCATCATTTGGTGTTGCTGACCAGTGCAGTGCATTTAGAAGCCCAGTCTGTCCCAAGCACTGTGTATGGCCAGCACTATTCCTTACTCCAATCCTCTTTTGGCTGCATGACTTCACCACGTGGTTTCCCTCCAGCTTTCTGACTCTTCTCTTCCTTCTACTGCTCTATATACACAGTTTTTCTCCCCCCCCCCCCCCCCCCCCCCGCCAATATGTGCCTCCCGAGCTCCACTCTGCCTGTCCCACCCCAAACTCTGCAGAGTCTCTTTTCTTCAGAGGCCCACTGGCCATCCCACCTGGATTTTCCATGGTATATATTTTCCTGCCTCCAGGAAGCCCTCCCTGCCTACCCTACCCCCTTGGTGCTTTCCCTTCTCCTACAGCATTTAGTTTGAACCATTTGACAAGAAAGGATATATATCCTTGTATTATTCTCTCATGGTCTCATGGATGTCTGTTCTACTTTTCCACTTGGATTTTAACCTCTTTGAGAATAAAGACAAAGTGATAAGTATCTGTTTGCTCCTTAGTGTCCAGCCCAGTCCTGGACACTAGGGAAGGCAGAAGGGGAGGTCTTTAGGGACCAGGAAGTGCCCCAGCAGAACTTAAAGTGCAAGATACCACTAGTCAATTGTCCTTCCCACCAGGAGGGTCAGCTCAGCCTGGGCCCCAGGCAGACTGTAGTGGGAAGCTCCCTTCTCCCTTCCCTTGGACTCCACCTTACCTGGCTGACTCCTTCCACTCCATCTGGTCTCCATCATGCTGCAGAGTGTCCATCTCTGTGAAGAGGGTAGGGTTGGGAGCCTCATCTTCCTCCCCCAGGATGTCCTGGAGCTGCTCAGCAGCTGGAGACCCTGCAAAAAGAGGGCAGCAGGGTCTGCTGAATGGCCTGGGGGAGGCAGAGGGCTGCAGGGCCAATTGAAATGGAGCGGGAGCCGGGTTCAAGAGAAAAGTATTTCCGAATTTAGTAAAACTAAGTCCAGTTTCTGGGCAAAGCTAGACTCATGCCTCTGCAGTTAGATGTGGGTGAAATATTCTTTTTTTTTTTTTTTAATTTTTTTTTCAACGTTTATTTATTTTTGGGACAGAGAGAGACAGAGCATGAACGGGCGAGGGGCAGAGAGAGAGGGAGACACAGAATCGGAAACAGGCTCCAGGCTCTGAGCCATCAGCCCAGAGCCCGACGCGGGGCTCGAACTCACGGACCGCGAGATCGTGACCTGGCTGAAGTCGGACGCTTAACCGACTGCGCCACCCAGGCACCCCGTGGGTGAAATATTCTTTGAGATAAAAGGGATGAAGGATTTAATCTGCATTCAGACTCCAGGGTCTTGTAGCTGACAACAAAGAAGGATAGAAAATGGCCAAAGCTGGGAAGTAGCAAGGACAGGAAACAGAAAAGTGAGAAAAACTCTGACCCAACTTCAGCATAACAAACCCAGAAGGACTCCTTTTCTCATTGGGGCCAAGACCAGTCAACTCCCAGTGTTGGCCTTGAAGGGGCAGTCAGCTCTGCAAAAGGATGTGCTTGTACCAGTGTGCCACATGAGCCCACCTTCTTCATGGGCAAAGTGACAACCTATTCCTGCACTCCTGGTCTGCCTTCCAACTGCCCACTGGATGTCACCTCCTAGCTGTCTCTCAGGCACCTCAAAAGTCAGCATTCTAACACTGAAAATGTACTCTGCCCCAAACATGTTCCCCCTTTTCCTGCCTCCCTCCCTTCTTTCCTTTCTCTCAATATTTCATGAAAGTCTACTATGTGCCAGGCATTGTTCCAGGTGTCGGAAAACAAAGCTGTGAAGAAGGCCCATACATCCTTGTTCTCTTGAATGTCTGCTCTAGTGGCAGAAACAATAAACAAGTAAACAAATGCATAAATAATCATTTCAGGTAGTGATAAACGTCCTGGAAAAACAACAACAACAACAACAAGAGAACTACATTAGATAGATTGATTAAGAAAGACCGCTCTGAAGAGCATGTGTTTGAGTTGTGACTTGGAAGATGAGAATGAATTACTTTTGCATCTCTGGAAAAAGAGTGCTCTGAGTGTTTCAAAGACCCTGACGTGAGAATGGGCTGGCCATTGTGTCTAGACCATGGTGAGCAAGAGAGAAGCATGACATGATGTCACTGCCTTGCATGTAGAAAGGCATAACTGTCCACTAACTGTATGGGCTAGACACTCTGGAGTCACCTACACCTTACCACTTTCTCTTACCTCTACCCTCATATAGAAAGTTTTCGAAAATATGTCCCCCCTCACCAATCCCTTTGCCCCTGCCCTGGTTCAGTCTCTCATTAATTGTCCCTTGGGCTTCATCAAGTCTTCCCCTTCCTCCAAGCCCCTCTGTCCCTTCAAATTATCATCCTTACAGGCCCTCACCTAATTTCTCCATGGTTTCCCCATGGTCAATAATTTCAAATACATTTTCATCATACTCCTCACTCTTACTCCTTGACTTCCCAGTAAAACCAGGCAGCCAGTACCCAAACAAGAATTCATTGGCCCAGTCTTCCTCTGTGCAGGAGTGTCATGGGGGGACAGGGAGAGGCAGTGTGGTACTGTGGTATAGTGGAGACAAGGTGCACAGTGAGCTTGCAACCCAGCTAGACATGGGTATGAATCTCAGAGTTGCCACTTGCTCGTGAGTGAATTCAGTTTGAGTGAGCAGGGTTGTTGGGAGGAACAAGGAGATTCAGATAAGGAGAATAAGACACATGACATGGGGCCTAGAATGTAACAGGTGCTGATCCCCTTTACTACCAACCCCAGCACCCAGGCTCACGAGCCCCACCCAATGGTGAAAATGAAAGATTTTTGGGGTGCCTGGGTGGCACGGTTGGTTGAGCATCCAACCTCGGCTTAGGTCATGATCTCGTGGTTCGTAGGTTCAGGCTCCGCATCAGGCTCTGTGCTGACAGCTTGGAGACTGGAGCCTGCTTTGGATTCTGTCTCTCTCTCAAAAATAAATAAACATTACAAAATTTTAAAAACAAAAAAAAGAAAATGAAGTATTTCCACCCTCAGCAGGTCTCAGAAGTGTAGCCACCTCCCACTCATCCTTGTTAGCACCATGTCCCATGTCCCTTGATGCCATTCCTAACCTTTGCTCCTCCCTTCAAGCCTCTTGATCCATCTCCTATCCACTTCACCAAGGAAATAAAGGCCTCTAGATGTGAGATTCATCACCTTCTCCCTTCTAGTTCTGTACCCTTACCACTTTGTAGTCCATTTTTGAGCAAAGGAGTCCTTCCTCCAACTTAATCTCTGGCTCCACTCATTCCCTTCTGCTGGATCATTATTTTATCAACAAGCCTTTGTTTACCTTGGTCTTCATCTCTCCACTCTTTTTCTCCTAGCCTATAAATAGTTCTTCCTACCCTATAACACTCTTCCATGACCCTGCCTGCCTTCCCAGCTCTCCTGCTTGCCTTTCCCCCCAACTTCTTGAAGGAATAGTCAGCACTTACTGTCTCCACTTTCTCCTTACCCAATTACTTTCCAACCTGCTCCAACTGGTTCTTTTTTTTTTTTTTTCCAACGTTTATTTTTTATTTTTGGGACAGAGAGAGACAGAGCATGAACGGGGGAGGGGCAGAGAGAGAGGGAGACACAGAATCGGAAACAGGCTCCAGGCTCTGAGCCATCAGCCCAGAGCCTGATGCGGGGCTCGAACTCCCGGACCGCGAGATCATGACCTGGCTGAAGTCGGACGCTTAACCGACTGCGCCACCCAGGCGCCCCATGCTCCAACTGGTTCAATCCCACTACTCTAAAGGACATTGACTAAGGCAGAGACTTCAACTGGCAGCTCAAAGACATGTTTAGTTCAGCTCTCACAGAGTATAAAAGTTTTTGAAATTGTTGCTAACATAAAGAATTGTGGGATTTCATATAATAATCCACATTTCTGACTTTTCTTGAAAATTCAGATGCTCTGACGACTGTGCCTACATTCCTGCTTGGCAACAATTAACCAAAGCTGAATGATAGCTGCCTTCTTTAGGCGGGCATATGCATTTTTTAAAGTTCTTTTATCTGAGTATTGTTGACACACAATGTTATGGGCATATGCATTGTAGTTTGCCACGGTCCCCACTGCTCCCTACTCAACTCTGCTAATCTCATTGCTGTTATGCACCTGAGTTTACAACTCTGCCCTCAGATCGCTCTTGTTATCTTATTCTCAACGAGTAAAGTAATAAAACCAATCAAACCAACAGGTCTGGCTTATCTCTTTGGGGCATCAGTGGTGCTGACTGCTCCCCCTGAACTGAAATGCTACTCTTAGCTCTTGTAACAACACTTTCTTGATATTTTTTCCTACCTCTTCAAGGAATCCTTAATATCTTTCCCTGACCCCTCTTGCCTGTCTCACTTAAATCTTAGTCTTCCCCAAGATTTCTCATTAAACTTCTTCTCTCTTCTCCTTCTACGCTCTTCCTGGGCCATCTTGCGTTCTTTATGGTGTCACCCTGTAGATAAGGTCACCCATGTCTCTGGGCCCTACCTGTATTGAACATTTCCAACTGTCAACTGGATTATTCCATGTGGGAGTTCTGCAGCCTCCTCAAGTCGACCTCAATATATTCAAAACAACTCCTTTATGCCTGCCATTCTCTGTTTTGAATAATAGCAACCCTAACTCTCCAGCCATTCAGCTAAGAAATACCGGACTCATTCTTGAAGCCTCTTTCTGTCTCACTGTTCATGTCCAATCAGACACTAACTTCTTTCCCTTGCTTCCTAAATATTTTTCAGCTGTCTCCCTTTTTTCCTACCCATTGCCACCATCTTGGCTCAGGTTCTCATTATTTCCCGTTCCTATTGCTGCAAAAGCCTCCTGCTGCCACTACTGCCTCTGGTTGCCTGATCCACCCTATTCCCTATATGGCAGCCAAGTTTGCCTTTAAAACATTTCAAACATATTCACAGGACACACTCCTGGGAGTCATGGTGCTCTTTGAGCAGCACCATAAAATATTTTGCATTTGAGTTAGAAATAATTTTACTTAGCAGAAATTATTAATTTATCTGTATATAGCTCAATCTGCCTCATTTAAATGAATTTTATTTCTGAATTTTTCTATTACTTTAAACATCATCTTTTCATTGGGTTATGGATTGCTGACACTTGCTAGCAGACATCAAAGGTTAAAGTTTTATAGAAAACTAACAATTGAACAAATAACCTTATTTTTTCTTTACACTGGGAGAAGCCTATGACTGATTCTGAGAGGACACAGCAATCAGAGTTCTAGAACAACTCTTTTAAAATGTAGGTTTGATCAGGTTACTCTCCGGGTGAAAAGCCTTCAATGGCTCTGTATTACCTAGAGCCTAGGGTCACTGACCTGGCCCAAAACATCCCTTGTGATCTGGCCCTTACCGGTCTTTTTAGGTTCTATCATGTTTCTCAGCCAGATGCCCTGGAACCCAGTTACCCTTGACCCCAGATACCCCAGCACCCCCCCTCCAATCCCAGATATCCTGGACCCTAACCACCACACACAGTTCTCTGACGAGGAGGGCACATTACTCCTTGGATCCTTGTGCCTACTCTTCCCTAAGTTTGGAATCCCCTTCCCGTTAAAGGCCAGATAGGAAGACAAAGAGATGGAACAACCAATAGGGAGATGAGACAGGGCAGAGAGCAGGATGCCTGAACCAGCCCTGTCTGGGGCATTACCTGCTCCCTGGAAGAGCTGAGCACTGAGGTCTCCGGCTGTCGGCACGGCTTCTGGCCCCAGCCTGTCTCTGCTGCTGCCGCCCTGGCCACTGCCTCCAAACGTCCTCTTCCCCACCGGTCACAACAAACTCACTTTGTTTCCAGTTATGCACCAGGGG